AGTGTAGAGGAAGCAAGGGAGGAAGTTGTACACTGTTTGGGTAACAACACAATGTTGAGGAAGCAAGGGAAGAAGTTGTACATTGTTGGAGTAACGACACAATGTAAAGGAAGCAAGGGAGGAAGTTGTACATTGTTTGGGTAACGACACAGTGTAAAGGAAGCAAGGGAGCAAGTTGTACATTGTTGGAGTAACGACACAGTGTAAAGGATGCAAGGGAGGAAGTTGTACATTGTTTGGGTAACGACACAGTGTAAAGGACGCAAGGCAGGAAGTTGTATATTGTTTGGGTAACAACTCAGTGTAGAAGAAGCAAGGGAGGAAGTTGTACATTGTTTGGGTAACAACACAGTGTAGAGGAAGCAAGGGAGGAAGTTGTACATTGTAGAGGTGACAACACAGTGTAGAGGATTTATAAATTTTGTTTAATATATGCTAATAATCAAAAGAACAGTAACTGAGAGAATAATTAGTTACTTAACTACACAGAAGTATCAAGTGCAAACCTACTTCCAAAATCCAAAATGTTTTAATTCCAAAATATACATATCTCTGCTCTCACTTATAGCTATTACTTGACTGCCAGGGTTTCTTCTTTTGCCCATCTAAGCATTGGTCTGATTTTTTCTTGCTTGCTCTAGTCTTTATACCCCACTTAATTGGCCTTCGTGATATATGTTTTGTGACACTCTTCATCTATGTCAGTGTGCCCTCTATCCTGGTACTGTAAAAAAGCATCTCATTCACATCATTTTATCACTTTTTATCGACATAGCATTCACTTTCGGGTTTCTCTGTACTAGTACTACGATCGTTGGAGATATTTTGAGCATTCTCAGTGGCATGTAGTTGAATTTCATAAACAAATGAGAGAGGGAGATTTTTTTTTTTTTACGATTGACAAGCACAGAGGCAAATCACATCTCTCCTATCTCACTTCTGATATCTAGTATCACACAACATCAGGGAGGGTCACTCTTGGTTGAGACTGTCTGTGAACTTATTCGTAGTGATATGGTTCAGCTTCTCAGTCCCCTGTGGAACAGTGGTAAGCTTATGGACTTGCAATGCTGAAGTACAGGGTTTGATTTCCTATTGTGGACATAGCAGTTGGCCCAACATTGTTTTGCTCTAAAACAAACTTACCTGTCAATGTGTTGTTCCTAACAAGGTAATCAGAACAATTTATACAAAATGTCAGAAAGGAGGCCATTTTTGGATCAGCTGCTTCTGAGTTGTTTTCTTCAGTTGGTACATTGAGCATTATGTTTTGGATCTTTTCCCAGTGGGTTTTGAGCCTGCTCTTACTTAATGGCTGTAAGGTCTGGTCATGAATATTTAGTTTCCTCTACATTCACAGACATTGTGGTTCAGGCAGGGAGGTTTTACTGCTCTGTTATGAGACAGGACTGCTAGGCATTAACTGCCACAGTTGTTGGAACTATGTGATTTAGCCTACCATTGCAAGGTGGACATATTTTTCGACTCAAATACTACATCTGCTTCTCAAAATTATGGGTTCTGAGGTGGAGTTGGTAGTTCACCTGAACAGATGAATATTCCCTGGTGGGACAAGGTTATGTCTACAGACTTACAACTCTAACATCCAACGTGTTGTTCCTAACACTAAACCTTGTTGGAAGACTTTAAGGACCTCCAATTTCATTACTGATGAGCTGGAACCATTGTCAGCATGCTCAGTGATTCAATTGTTGGTTTCTACATTCATCGCTCTTGTCATTGGCACCTCGACTTTTACTGGCATCTATAGGGGGTCGTAGTTCCACTTCTTTTGGAGGGTCCTGACCCCGACATCAGCCCCTCGATACATTGGAACCCAATATAATTTATGTCCATATCCACAGGTTCCACTGCTCGGTCGGAACCCCCGCTGGTAGTGTTGGGGATTATTGTATGCCTTCGGGGTCTGTAGGGGCTTGGCTCCAAGAATTTCTGGACATGGGGTAACCTTACCCTCGGATCCATGGGCAATACAAATACTTGAGTTTGATTTGTCATGCAGTTCACATCTTGAACAACGTTATCCACCCAACCTGTAGGATTTCCATCTTCCACAGATCCTCGGATTTCGGAATTTAGATCTATGGCTATCAGAGTTTGGTTGGTCTAGGGGTAGAGAGAGAGTGTCATGCTAGTTCTCTCGGGGTTTTATTCCCATCGGTTGCTGTGTCTAAGAGATAGGAGATGGGTGTCCAGTCATCAATTTTTATCGTCTATATGAATACCTAGATTCTTCAAGGTTCACAAGTGACTCATTTCTAAACCTGAGTTGGCTTTTTTTATTAGGATTTTGGATGTCAAAGTTCTATTGAGTCAGCTTCTAATTGCATATTGCCATAGTGGAGGTATCCCGCCACTTTTGGTGTTTTTGTGCACAAAGGTTAAGTATTGCAGTTCAGGGTTCTTACCTTCTGACTATCTTCGGTACCATTTGGGTTCTGCCAATTCATACAAGCTTTCTCATGTTACCCACATTCCCTAGCTCTGAGCACACACCATTCATTGGATGACTGGTTATTGCTGGTACCTTCTCATCAAGTGTCTGAATGTCACACCTGGATTATACTTTCATAACAACCAATGCAGGCTTCATTCTCAGAGCTGAGACATCTATTCTTGCTCCAACTCAATATGTCATCATTCTGGGTATTTTTTCATCACATATCTTAGTTAGGCTCAGCCGACCCCCATCCGGCTACACATTATGAAACAGGAAGTCCGATTCATACTCACTTCTTTTCCAACTGCATGGATGGTTCTTTCTCTTTTGGGAATGTGGGTATCACTCAAATTCCTCATGCCTTTGAGAGGAACACACAAGAGATCCTTTCAGTGTGTTTTATGAGACCAAGGGATAAAAAAATGGTAATTCACTGGATTCTTCAGTTTCCTTATTCAGGATCTTTCTTCAATCTTACGGGTTGGTTAAGTCAGGGCAATACCAAGATATGGGTTCTTCTGCCACCACCTCATCCAGATATCATATCTTTATGAATCCCTCACTTCAGAGTTGAAGTGTATATCTCAGAAGTCAGGAATTCTATGGTCTATGCATGGACAATGAGGCTTACCTACACAATGTTTTAGTCCTTCATGCTTTTCACACAATGATGTCTTATAGTCTGGGCTTATTAAGGGGAACATCTTCAGGCTTCACTCCAACAATTCCACAGTGGTGTCTTGCTTTTCCTGTGAAAGGGCACTTGGTTCAAGGCTCCTTGTTTTCAAACCTTGGATCTCCTTTATTAGGACCACTCCTATCATGTCACCCTGTTAGCTTGCCATGTTCTACAGGTGATGATTGCAGTAGCAGGTCAATTGTCTCGACCCAACCAGATTTTCCCAACAAAATAGATACTACATTGCAAAGTTTTCTGGTGGTGAATGAGAAAAGCTATTATATGAGAGGAGGTACCTATTACAAATATATTTTCAGTGTAGGAAAATAATAACTTCTGGTATTTGCCTACATTTAATGTTATAAAATGTAGATAGTTGTGATATTTGACTACATTTAAGGTTATAAAATGTACATAATTCTGATATTTGACTACATTTAATATTATAAAGGCAGAAGAAAAGCTAAACTTCTCTGTGATTCCAATTTAAGGTTATAAAATGTACATAATTCTGATATTTGACTACATTTAATATTATAAAGGCAGAAGAAAAGCTAAACTTCTCTGTGATTCCAATTTAAGGTTATAAAATGTACATAATTCTGATATTTGACTACATTTAATATTATAAAGGCAGAAGAAAAGCTAAACTTCTCTGTGATTCCAATTGTTTTGAAAAGTGTTGAAGGATGCGAATGTTTTCAAGTTCAAGTAATGTAAGTATGAAAGTTTAGAACGATACAAATTTTTTAATTTAATTGTAAAATGTACACAATATTTTCTCTATGTTCATGATTTTTGTTGAAGTATTTGAATAAGGCATGCTACACAAAGCAGTAAAAGGATAATTGAAAATATTTTATAAAATCATATTCAGTTCATTTTTATCAATTTAGGCATACGATGATCTGAAATAGAAAGGATTTGTCATTCAGTCCATGTTCATATATATAATCATTTGATAGAGATGGCTTTACATCTTTTTTCTTTAATTTATGACATTTCATTTCATTAGAATTTAAAAAATGAATCCCACTAATTATTCATTCAATATCCATACATACCAGTATCATTCTTATATTTGTTTCTGATCTGTTTTGTTGTAGATGACATGTAAAACCCGTAAAATTGACTTATTGGAGAAAGACTTTGCTCTGTTTTGTTGCACATTGTACATGTAATCTGTAAACTTCAGTTACTGAAGTATTGCTTCTCATCTGTTTTGTAGATGGCACATGTTACTTGTAAACTTTAGTTACTAGATTAAGACTTCTAATCTGTTTTGTTGTAGTTGACATTTGTGACCTATAAACATCAGTTACTGGAGTAAGGCTTCAATTTTGTTTTGTCGTAGATGACACGTGTTACCCGTAAACTTCAGTTACTGGAGTAAGGCTTCAATTTTGTTTTGTCGTAGATGACACGTGTTACCCGTAAACTTCAGTTACTGGAGTAAGACTTCTAATCTGTTTTGTTGTATGTGATATGTTATCTGTAAACTTGAGTTACTGGAATAAAGCTTCTAATATGTTTTGTTGTATGTCAAACATGTTATCTGTAAACTTGAGTTACTGAAGTAAGGCTTTTAATCTGTATTTTTGTAGATGGCACATGTTACCTGTAAATTTCAGTTACTGGAGTAAGGCTTCTAATCTAGTTTGTTGTAGATGGCACATGTTACCTGTAAATTTCAGTTACTGGAGTAGGGCTTCTAATCTAGTTTGTTGTAGATTGCACCTGTTACCTGTAAACTTGAGTTACTGGAATAAGGCTTCTAATCTATTTTGTAGTAGATGGCACGTGTTGCCAGTAAACAGCAGTTACTGGAGAAATGCTTCTAATCTATCTTGTTGCACATTTCACATATTACTTGCAAACTTGGATTATTGGAGTAACACTTCTAATGTATTTTGTTGTAGATGGCACATTACCTGTAAACTTCAGTTTCTGGATTAAGGCTTCTATTAGCCTGCTATTGCTGAATTTACTGTGGAAATATAAATGAGATCACATTAATTTCTACATCTGTCTTTGCTACTATACAGAGGTGGTATGTATTTCATTGATGGGTTTCTGTATTTTAAGTATGGATGGTAAACAAAGTTGGCAGCTGAATTATTATCACAGAAAAAAGGCACCAAAATGGAACACTTTCTTACAGTTTGTTTGCTTTTTGCCTTTTATTCTAGTTACAATATAATCTGGTAAAGGAGAACATGTGTGAAAAACAGTAGTCATCTTCCTCAAGATGGAAAAATATGACAGAATGTAGCCAGAGTGCTAGATTTTTGGAGCAAGGTTTTTCAGTAGTTATATTTTCAAGATGTAAGATCTGTATAAATCATACTTATAGGAGATTTTTTTTTACATTTTCCAGTTGAAAATGGACACTTAAGAAAGCCTGGCCCTTGTGTGATAACTGTCAATCAATATACCAGCTTATGTGTAGATTGTACTAACCCTAACTATTATCAGCATAAGTAGTCTGGCACCTGTGGTGTATGCTTAAAAATCAGTGTTGATGTGGTTTGAAATGCTCATAATCTGACAGAGTTGTTTCTAGGTCATGTCTGGACCCACTTGATGTAATGTGTCGTGTCGAAGAATATTCTATACATTAATTTTCTCTTGTTTAAGAAATTTTAGACCACTTTAGAATTTTGGGGGTGGGTGTTATCATATATTAAGCTAAAGTCAGGGACCAATTGCAGCAAAAAGGATGCATGTTTTGGCTCTGTATAATTGTTCTTTAATTGTACCATTTATTGATGTAGAATGTGATACATCCATCATTGCTCATTATTTCTGACACCACAATGCTTCACCTCTGTTACATTTGTTAAGTTCATGTAAGAGAATGGTTTAATCTGGTTTTGTTTCTCTTAAAATTATCATATGTCTGCTGTTCGACTGCAGGATGAACCATTGCTAATCTATAAACAGGATATGGCTTCACATGCTATTCATTCATTGGATCTGTTCTTTACACAGTTGCAGGAAGGCTGTTTTGTGCCTCATTTTGCATCTTACATGTAATCTAACCTTGTGAAAATATTATGAGGCTTAATCCTAGTTCATGAACATCTTACTCTCTGTGATTCACTTAAAAAGTGAGAATTTAAACAGTTATTTCAATTTTTGTAGTATGTTCTTCAGTAAGATTTTATCGTAGTGATTTTGTATTTTCCTGGTTATATTTCAACTTTTGGTTAGTCTTTAAAAATTTCTGTGCAGAGTGGATATTAGTGAGATTCAAGCAAAAATAGAAACAACTTAAAAGTTTTTCCATCTGAGCTCCGCATAATGTTATCAATGTGTAGACTTATTTTGAAAAATATTGAAAACATAAAAAATGTAATGTGATTGATAACTCAGTAAAGTATTTGTAATTTTTACTTGGTTATTTTTTCCTTGGCATCTTTAGGTTGGTAATGGAGTTACTAGTATTTGACTTACTTCAGTTTACACCAGGAAGTAAAGAGAAATTGTGGAATGTACTTTGTACCCAACTAGAATTAGGAGGGATTAATCTCAAAGTGGTATGTATCCAATTAGAAATCGCTATTTTGTAATTAACTGCAAATTTATAATCAAGTGGAATACTGATACTTAAAAACTGTATATCAGTTGTCGATTGTATGATAAATACCAATTGCTCTATGTGTGCCAGTAGATTATGCCAACTTTAACTGTGAGCAACAAAGGTAGTCCAGTACTTAGTTGCATGCTTATAATCAGTGTTGATGAGGCTTGAGGTATCTGTAATCACTTGAACACTCCTTTGAAAGAAGAATTTATTTCACACAAGCTGAGGTACCTGTCCTTTGTCCAGGTTATGAACTTAAAAAATTTGTGGATGGATGCTATGATAAGTAATACAAAAATCCTAACTTTCACACAATTTATTTATAATATAATATATTATTACGGTATTCATTATTACCTAACCAAAAGTTTTGTATAAGCTTTAAGAACTCAATATGTATATACTTAAAATATGGTATACACTGTGTGATGGCCAGGGTGACTTTGTAGGAAGAGGTAGCAGAAAAAGTAGTGGTAGTAGAGGTGCTTTCTATTACCTGCTTTCAACATACAGCGTTTAATGTCCTTCATGTGATTAATCAATTGACAACCATTGGCTGCAGAAGTGTCTTATGGGTCAAAGTTGAAAGGTCATGGTTCAAAGTAGGAAGTGAGTAAAACTCAAGAAATGGCTCTTCATGTCAGACTTATGATGGCTGTTGGAGTAGAAACTTCAGCTGAGTTTATGTAGTATTGCAATTGTAGCATTCATTTTTTTCATTGCATTCCTCCATGTTTGTGTGCCTTACACCCACACTGTATGTATGTTGTTTTATTGAAAGTTTAATAAAGTTTATTTGTTTTTGGTGTAAGGACATGGCACCAGCTATGAATGTAGTTAATGTTACTTGCATCAAAGATAATAAATGCTCAATAACAGCAATAATGGGGGAGTGGGGGTGGAAGGAGTTGTGAACCCTCATTACATACCCCTTATTCCAAATTATAATCCCACAAAGTTTGGTTGAGGTTGGCCCCCTGTGACCCAGGTGTAGTTAGATAATGGACAAACAGACACACACAGAGAATTTTGTGTTTTATATATATAAATAGAAAAGTTTATATTAGACACGTCATTTTCAAATTCAGTTAATAGCATCTGATTGTTATATCCAGAATATGTAATTGGTTTATTTAATTTTGAGCAAAATGTATCCTGCATATATTTTTGAAGATGGGAATTGAAATGATCTTATGCCTTTGGACTGGCAGGTTGATGTTGTGTCACCCATGTTTGTTGTTTTCTCACACTAAAATGTTTAACCTAATTGCATAATATCTAGTTTCTACTTGAAAAAAATTATATAACTTCATTTAGTTTTTGTGTAATATTTTAGGTTATTAATTTTTGGAAATTTTATTGTGAAATGCTATTTAATACTTTTGTCTTAGCATTTCTGTTTTTCTTTTTACTGTGGTGCTTAAATCATGTAAATGTATCCACTAGAGTAATTTTTCACTAAAATTTTATTTTGTTTGTGTCATTCTAATAATGGCATACTCATTTTCTCATCTTTTCATACAATTTTTCACATATAATTAAAGTAACTGTAAAAAATGTGAAAGAAAGTAAGAAAATTTAATTTATTTTTTATTATTGATCATAAGGTTATTTTTCATTTATCAAATGAGCTCTAACATGTTTTAATTTTAACAGCTATTTGTATTTGTTACTCATCTTTACCTATTGAAGCAGTTATATAGCTGCTGAAATAGCATAAAACTGAAGAACAGTAAAAGCACTGACCAGTAGATACACAACTTGTATGAGTATCCTAAGCCTGTGCTGATATAGGCATTATTTTACCAGCTATATTTTTGATCATGCTCAATTTCTCTGTAATAATTATAATTTAATTTCATTAACTAAGGAGATCTTCTATGTGTTGTTTGAGTAATAATAAATGTACTAATGCTTTGGTGTCATTTGAATAGTTTGCTATCAAAGAACTGCTAACTTACCATATTCACTAACCCTAATTATCCTTAGGTAATTTCTTTCCATATAAGAATATTTTTTTAGGTTTAAAAACAAACATAACACAAAAATATTGCCAAAAGGAACTATAAAAAATCCCAGGTCTGTGGCTTATTTCGAAGTTTTGTAAACTTCTTATTAAAGTCCTTTGTTCTCCATTGTGAGAACTTCCACTGGTCACTTTTTCAGAAACCATAAATTAGTACTGACCTGTGTGTTCTTCACTGACATTTACATAGATGGACAATAATCTTTTCTAACCAAAACTTTTTAGCCATTTTTTCTACCTTGTTTTGATTTAATAGCTACTCTCCAACCCACTTGTTGTGACATCATAAAATCCTCTCAACACAGAGTTCTTGAAACAATCTTCGAGAGAAAAGTCACTTGAGAAGCAAAAACTTGTGTAAATCTATTTCTAAAGGATACTAGGGTCTTAGTAAAAATAAACCTATATTTTTGGGATGAGCAGAAAAATTCCCAAAAAATCTGTAATGCTATTGTTTACAGGTGATGCTCCTTAGAGCTGTGCAGAGATCAAAGTTTAAACTCTTATTAAAAGTTTTATTTGCAAATCAGACTAAATGAATTTTGCAAAGTTACAAAATATCAGTTTTTAGGTATTTTTACTTAAATTGTGAAAACTGATATGCAAGTGTGTCCCTGACCCTGGAGAACTGACCTCCTCTTCTCATAGGGTTAATGAATATTTAAAGCATATGTGAATAATTAGTTTGGTATTAAGTTTCATGTAATGTGCACCAAATCACATAAGTCACATATTGTAAAATGCTCTGTTATTATTATTGATGCATCGCTTTATAATGAAGATAATGTGGTGCATCTTGTGTGTAGTTGTTAAAAATTACTTACTTGTCTTTGGTTTTAAAGAGTTTAACAACACTTTATTGATGCACTGATGGTGCATTTGTTTCTTTTAACCCTATCTCCACGGGTACCCTTTACTGTGCATGTTACAAGGTTTT